TAAGGGAGCGACTTTATCTTAGGAGAAACGAATGGAACAGGGATTGAAATTGAGTTGGACTTTACTGTGGGAAAACTTTTTTTGTGGATTGGGATTGAACGGTTTGTTAAAAACACCCGAAGGTTATAATATCAATATTTCTCCAGTCAAAAAGTCGGACGGATTCGCACGGCTATAAAATGGCTTTAAACTCATAGATACATGATTGGACACTGACATTTAAATTGGTAACATTCCATTTGTTTGGAGTGTTTGTAGCGCACAAATGTTTAATCGCATATCGAATGCTCTTCCTTTAAATATATTTTTTCTTGTATAACGTAAGGATGCATTGTTTAACATAAAAAGTTGAATTTGGACGAATAAGGGAAATTCTGCTGCATCCATTGTTGCTCACGTTTTTCTACGACAAAAAAACAATTACTTTTTTTGTATTTTTCTTCGATCTTCCTTTTTTACCCCAAACTCTTTTACATATGGGATGAAAGTCATATTTGGCGGTAATTTATCTTCATTCTCCATGAACCAAGCAGCCACTGGGTGACCAATTCGAGGGTCCTTCTTCTCTTCACCCAAATAAAACTTTACAGCATCACCAACTGTTTCAATGGAATTAAGTTCTAGATTTGGAATATTTCTATCCGTTAAAGACATACAATCTCGTAGAATCTATGAAAACATCGAGCGCATTAATATCATTTTGCAACGAACGATATGGGATTTTCACTAACAAAATGACCTAATGACCTAAATGACCTTTCAAGATTATAAAAATCATAGTCTCAAAGGGTTCCAAGTGTTAAGGATATATATATATATATATATATGATCATACCTCAAATTTGAGTTTTGGATCAGTTAATTTGACGTCCATCCACTTATTTTTATCAGTTAATTTTACATGTTTTTGAACAATATCATGGATCTTGTTCTTAATTTCATCAGGTTCTGTTATTTTTTGCCTGCAAGTTTTATTATTATTATTATTATTATGTTTTACTTTTTAAGCCATTATTCGTAAGTTATCAAAATAATAATTCATAAAATTAAGACTATACCGTACGGCGCGGACTATGGTACCCTGGATACGATTCATTCTGTAGGTAAAATTCAAGTTAAATACCGACTGTGGATTATATAAAGAAGGTATTATATAGAAAATTGCAACATGTGTAACTGCATACGTTATTTAGACTTATATAGAAATGTTTCTAGTTGGAGACCAGTTAGGTTATAGTTGGCGTGCATATAGTCCAAGCCTCCGATGCGATCATATCGTGTGTATAAAAAGGCGGTTTTGGTCTTTATTTATCTTTTTAAAATCATGATGTCAGGTCTTCCTAGATTAGTATAATATTATT